ATAGCAGTACGAAAAAAGCCGTTTGGGGGGGGTTGCTTTCTAATAGCTTATCAACAGTGCTGTCTCGCAAACCCTTGGTTGGGTAGTGTCGGAATGGAGCGATATGATTAAAAGAACGGGGTAAGGTTGCGGTCTTGTTTATTTGTTTGTTTTGTTGGCTATCGCCTCCCCAAATCCTCCGATCTAGGCATACTGTACAAGAGTGCCTACTGTACACTTACTGAGTGTTTTCTTCTTTCCTACTTCGTGTAGACGATGGCGACCGCCAGAGTGGCCGATAACCGCAGCATCCCCTCCGGTCTCCGAAGACCCATCGTGGCGGATGGCGCAATACTATCATTTGGAAATTACCTCATTCGGTCATATATTTTTCGCATTGCTTGCCTCACGGAGCTTGATGGTGAGGTTGAGTCGAATGTTGCCAGCTTTACCGATTCCCGGCCGGGGATGCACTGCTTGACTATGTGCACAGTCATAGACTTTCAAGTCCCAGTGCCAGATTGCTGTCCCATGATTCGTCGGAAAAGCGATGTGGCCTACTTCGAGTAAGTAATGAGGTATAGTACGTACCATACCGAGTAAGAAGATTTGACAATAATTTTGACATATTTTTTTCTTCCCACATGCCCGCACGGTCGCTTATTTTTACTGGGTTTTTGGGGACCTGAGTGGCGCCGCTTGTTCGGGGCTAGGTCCCTACCGCCCCGGCTGTCATCCCACGGAGAACCCACCGCGGACGTCGTAAAATGAGTCGATCAGAGGGGTTAATAGAAAACAGCAATAAGAAAACAAATCAGCCTTGTAGATGACGTTGAACGACATTATCATTCCGACTACATCAGAATATACATCGAGTGATCGAATCATCCCTTAATTTGGTCCAAGGTGAAAATGAAGTAGCTCGAATGATGCGAGACAACGGTCGGGTTTCTTTTCCATTTAGCTCGTCTCCTTCCCATGGACGTGTGGAGTAGAGCGTACGGAATGCGGATGCAACTGGGTCTTTCATCCACCGGTGTACGGAGTAAGGTAAAGTCCTCGAGGGGGAAGAGGAGGGGGGGAACAGCAGCAGCAGTACGTAGCAGCTAAGAGGATCTCTCTCTCTCTCTCTCTCGTGGTGACAGACGGGCAGAACGAGGGCCAAGCGAACAGCATCGCTTTCGTTTGAACTTTGAACATCCATGGATTACCCGACGTGAAGGTGTTGAGACGACGACCCTCTCGAGCTAGCTAGGGTGTTCCCCAGTCGATGACGACAGTCCCTCAATTATAGCGTCCGTTAGACTAGCTCTTGTCGCTCTCGGGTGTGATATTTCTTTCTTTGATTTTTTTCCCTCTTGCCTTTGAATTTTTCCAAAAGCGCGAAGCACCAAGGAGCATGGGTCTTTTACCGAGGCTTCGCTTCGTCGTGTCTTCCAAGACGCAACGGCCTTGAAATTTCTTTTAGGTTTGCCTTTGTGGCAACGACAGGGGTTAAGCCGTCGTCGCCGGGCCTGGACGGGCCAGGAAGACGTTTAGCTGTAAATTATCCCTGGCATCTGAGATGGGTTATCGTCCGGCGAGCTGCTTTGAGTGCGAGGTCCGACGATGTTGAAATTAGACAGCCATGATCTCCTCGGCCTGGGCCGTTGCCGTTGTTTCCTCCTTTTCGGCGTTTGCTTAATCACTTGCTGCTCCCCTGACTAACTAACCACTAGGCACCCATTGATGTCTTGATGGGCAGGAGTCTAGTGGTGGAAGGGCGATGGAGTTGCGGAATGGGGATGGGAGCAGAAGAATGGAGCTTTTCCCTGTGGACAGTGGAGATTGGCCGATAGTAGTCTCTCGAGCTAGAACTGTTAGCTGCTCGGATGGACTGTCAAAAACTGCTGTCGCGGTCTTCTCGAAGCTCAGCGACCTTCCATGCATATATTAAGCCAAGTGATTCCCTAACCTGAACGAGTAAAGTCGCCTGGGTGCGTTATGGGTCGTTGTTCGTATTACCTCCGGTAGTACGGAGTACGTAGTGTAACAGTCGTAACTTGTCGGCGTGGCAAGGAAAATCTCGAAAGTCGACGACCCCATCCTGTTAGGCACAATGCTTCCAAATCATTACCGGTAAGTCAGTAAGACCAAAACTCCTTTTCCGACGGTCAAGCGGTAGGGTGGATTTGGCCATCCCCTCTCCCTTATCATCGTCGCGCATAATGTCGACTTTCCGCCGCTGTCAGTGGCTAATGCTAAATTACCGCACTCCGGGGACTGGCCCGGAATCCGGAAGCTGCACCCACATCAAGTAAGGCGTCTCTCTGCGCAGTGTCGGTAGTAGAGTAGATTGGTATCGTGGCGTGTATCAGTCAAACCATTCTATCTTTAGATCCACCATTGAAGTAGTCTTAATCGCTGCGACCGGAGACAGAGTCATGCATTCGATACGGTAATTTAGTTTGATCATCGCCAGATGCTTGCGACTCCTGGTACTCCTGTGACTATCGATTGGAGAATCAAGACAAGCAACGAGATAGGAAGAAGGGGACCCTGGTACCTGCGCCATGAAATCTGAAACAGTGGCCACACTGACGAGTCATGTATGTACGAGAGACCCCAGCCAGGTCTACGATCCCTGGCAGCCTTGAGTCGGCGGCGAACTGCGTGGCGGTTAAAGGAAAGAACAAGGTGTGCAGTGCCACGGTGATGCTCATGGCTGGGTGCTTGAACGGGTTAATGATAGCCCTTTGGGGGGGAGTAAGAAGAGGTCCGTGTTCTGCGTTTCGCGTTCTGAGTTCTGACAGCTCTGGCTGAGTCCCCTTGCGTTGCCTTTGCTGATACTCGAGTACCACCATACACACAAGACAAGACAAGATAAGTGACAAGTGGGATTCGATTGGCTGTTGAACTGTCATTGTCCGCCATTTGACCTATGACGTGGACAAGTCAAGTCCCGTGGTCGGACTAAGCCCGATTGCTGTAAATCATAACAATAACGACGTACTAGATGAATCATGTGCTGTTTGCCTGACTAATGCGACGAGATTCAGCGGAGTAATGATACACCAGCAAACATTCTGCCGAGTCCCGCTCTCAACTGATCAGGTCCAATGCAGTCAAGAGACCGACTATTGAGTCGAGATGAGAAGATTGGAGGCTTGCAGGTGTTGGCAATCAACGGTAAGCGAAAGTTCTTTATTGGCAACCGGCCCTATCGCAGACCGGCCAAAGAAAAGTGGATTCTAGGTGCAATGGATGAAAAACAAAACCATACAGGCGACCACGGGGAGAAAAACTAGATCAGATTGAAGCAAATCAGAATCGGGCGTTCTATTTTGACAGCTGCATTTCATATGTACCTAAGCCCTGTGTAACCGTCTATCGGACAACAAATAAACGATGCAAGCAAGGGTCGGTTGGCATACCAAGGAATTCCGGCGTGAACGTCGCTTTTCCCCTCTCCGGCCATGCAGCCTACAGTTCCCCTCCGCATCGGTTCCTGCAGTAGGCCGCCCAGACCTGATCGATCCCATCTGCCATTGAACAGGTCGAATCTCAAAATGTGAGCTAATCCAAGAAGGCCCTTTTTGTCTTTCTCTCTCTCCCTCTCTACTCTGTATGTGAGTGAGTGATTGACGTCTTTGACAATCCGAGTGCGCACACCGCGCCTGTGATCTTGGGAACAGGCTATGTGCTACGTGGCCAAACTCTCAATTTTAGGACACCAAAATTGGAGTTAGCCTATACTTGGGGTGCCAGTACCCTGGGATTTTCGTGCTTTTGACTTGACATCACCTCACACTTTCCCCAGAAAATCTTTCAACCAACGACGCAGGAGCTATACCTAGCTTCCCTCCACCTCAGGAAATAATCTAGCCTATTAGGTTCAATACTGTCTGCACCATATGCTCGGCGTAGTGTCTCCAGCATATGATTTGCTATCGGATTCTAGAGCCATCCTATGTCTGCTCATCGATTTTATTGTGTGATTAGCATCAATGCGAATCATCTAGGAAAGAAACATGCCAATGTGTCTCTTCTCCAGATGCCCAGAGAGGGATCAGACCCTGTAGACGACCTACCCAGTACAATTTTGCCTCAGCTTACGATATGAGTTACCTAGAATGTCACAGGGCTCCGATTGGGCCGCACCCGGGACTTCGGATGTCTTTTTCTGAGAATCGGTGGTTTGCTGTCAGTAGTGAACACTTATTAGACTGGAGTAGACTCAGTAGTATAGTACCACCCGTAAGGACGGGTAAACTATACCTTAGTAGCACTTATCTTGCACCATGCCATAAGTTAGGTGGTGGGCCCCAGTCGCAGCCGTTTCACCAGTGGTGTCGAGGGCTCGAGATGATGCCACAGTACAGTAGTGTTGCTTCTCGAAATTGCTAGTCTCAATGCCGCTAGAATGGACTGCCAGAGGATTGCGAACGTTTTTTTCGTTCATGCCCGCTTATCGACATGGGACCATACTATGTCTGTCCTAATTGAGTGGTCTCATCGAGTCCGGAATTGCATGCCTGCATCAATGCCGTTACGCCGGGGCAGTTCGTATCATCGATCGTCGTCATCACCACCGCCGCCGCCGCCATCAGCATCATCATAATCATCCCTCTCCTCCCAAACCCCATCAATCATGATTATCAGTCTCCGCCCTCACAGAGGCTGAGACCAAAGGGAAAGTCCACAGCGACCCAGCGTGAGTTTGGGGGTGTGGGAGAGAACGGGGAGGGGCCGCGGACAACATCTGCACTGACCAAGACAACCCCCAAATCAGCAGCCACGGTCTCTTCATCATAACATCCATCACATCATCCACCCAACCAACCAACTGCAAAGGTCGTTTGCTGATCTTACTGTAAGCGTGAGGCATCCCAGAGTGAGGGAACATGGGACAGCCTTTCCTCGTCAATTTTTTTTTTTTTTTGCATTGTTGTTTTTTTCTCTTCCCTCATTTTCTGTTTCCTTTTGTCTTTTTTTGGGGTACTTTTAATGAAAACCCCCAAATGGCGGACGGGATGCGCAGTGGGGCCGACTAGCTTAGCCGGCGAGTCAATCCCTCCCCTTCACAGGTTGAGGCTATTGGCTTTGAATGCAGCTTCTGGTGCGCTTGCCCTCTCACCTAGCAGATTTGCAGTCAATGAACTTCGGTTGTCAACTCAAGTCACCATGTCTTGGTAGTATGTGTGTGTGTGTGTGTGTGTGTGTGTGTGTGTGTGTGTGTGTGTGTGTGTGTGTGTGTGTGTGTCTCTCCCTCTCTCTCTAGCTGTCTGGAGCCCTTTGACTGCCCGTCGGGTTGGTTTGGCTGACTGAACCGGCCTATTGGAATCTCACTTTTGGTTTTCCTTCCCCGCCCAACAGACTCCCACTCAACTCGCACACCCTCTCCATCACTTTTCAGTTTGCTCCAGCGAAGGTGACTGGCCCGATTGGTTTTCGTGCACCAAGCCAGTGGGACAAACAGGCCGCTGATAAGCCCAGATAGGCCATCCGATGCTGCTGATGCGGGTCTCATTGGTAACGGAACATCCGATCCATGTACTATGTATAACACATCACCCTCAGCATCACGATGAACGCTGTCATTGACGGACAAGTGGTCTCAACAGTAAGCGCGCAGCGTGATTGACGAGGTTGGTCTCAGCTGAGCACCTGAGCACCTCGAGTAGACAGTCCCTCTTGACTGGCAGAGAGGCAGTGGCAGTGAAGGAGGGAGGGTAAAGGATAAGGGGGGCCATTCGACAACTTTGAGGTGCTATTTTGGGAGCGATAATACTGCCTGAGAGTCTCGGACGGACTGCTGTGGCGACTTTCAACCATCGAGACAGCCTTTCCAGCTCGGCCTCAGCCTGTTACCTTACCGGCGATGTTACAGGATAAATTACACCCGGGACTGTTATGTGTGGGAAGCTAAGTATCAGAAGACGGGATTGGACTCTTGACAAGTGTGTTGACCTCCCTCCTACTTGGGTAAGTTCCAAAAGAGATTGAAGAGACCATGGAACCCGCTTTACCCCCCCGACAGTTGTAATCTGTACTTTATATGGAGATACTATGTCGTTACGGAGATGTCTATCTAAAACGTGAATAATGAATTGGCCACAAGGCAAGACCGACGGAGACAGAGAGGAAGAAGTGGGAAAGCCACATATCTCCATAGTTGGCCGTAGTGAGTGACTAAGGGCTGTGTACAGTACAAATGAACTAAATGTTACCAGTTACCAGTTTACTCCCACCATCCAACCCAGAACTGTCATTTGCCCTACCGTAATGAACTCTCTCTGAAACAGTGTTAAGTGCCACCGAGGACGATAAATTTGTGATGATAATATATCAATCGTCATTATAAACCTTCTGTGATGAAATAGCCAACGGTCACAAGCGGTTCCTTCTCTCGCTTCTACACTTTCCGTGCTTTGCTGGCTTGCAATTGGAACATGAGCAACTCCGCATTTACGCATTTACCCATCCGTGACCGTCAGACGTGTGTGCCTGTGTGGTCTGGTGGTAATAAATGGACGGAGGGCCGAGTTTCCATGCACCATTGAAATGGGGCTTGAGGCCGCCAATGTTCCCACTCGTGCTCATGTGCTCCACGCACTTACGCCTCTTTGGGTTCCCCGGCCGAGGTGGTGGGGACGATTTGCTAGTGAGTCGACGCTGGGATTCGCCCTCGCCATCTGACTGTCTCTCGAACTAAGCTCCGATCCAACAGCATCCAGCGTCTCCACCCCTCCCAAAATGAGGAATGAATGGCACAATATTTTAGTATATGTATTATCGGTACCTGTCTTGTATTGATCTCAATATCCGTCGTCGTCGCTGTCGTCGTCCTCCTCCTCCTCCTAGTCTCTTACTATCGTGGACGTCCGCAATGAAGAGGTATAGTGCGTAGAAGGATTGTCAGAGTACTAGTAGTAAGGTGCTTCGCAGTGGTACAGTAGAGATTCCGTAGTAGTCCGCAGGGTGGTCCACCTCCCGTTGGTTTTGGTCTTGGTCTCCGCTTCCTCAAATTTCTAAACTGAAATGGAACTGAGGATGTGCACCGCCGGCGCCAATCTGCTTTCTTTGCCGCCCCAGACTCGAAAGTCTACTCAGCATTGATGGTGCATAAGATGGTAAAAAATAATGACAATCACCGGCTGGAGAAAATAGGATTTCCCATTCCACTTCCCCCCACCCCTCTTCCCTCTCCTCGGCCCTCTCTCTCTCCGCTTTCCATTGTTCCCCGAAATTTATTCAAATCATCATCCAGAAAGTCTATTATGGGAACGTTCAAAAAATAGAGCAAGAAACATTCAACACTCCAAAACCAGGAAATTGGAAGAAAGGGGAGGAGAAATGAAATTGAACTTCAAATCCATACACTGTCAAAGACATGATCGAAGGCAGCCCAAGAAAAATAACATATGACACAGTACCTGGACCGGCAGATTTATTAGATGATTTATTAGTCTTATATTACAATTCCGACTATTATAGAACTGATTGCTCTCGACTTTCCTACTGGCACCACCACCCTAAAGTAAAGTTCCATGCAGCCCATCTCACCCCAAAAAGGCTCGCCAGGCTAAAAAGTACGGCTCCAGTCAGTCCTCCAGTCCTCCAGTCCTACTGCTCACTACGTACGGCGCTACTACCTCGTAGCACAAGCAGATCAGTCGCTCTTTTATCCACTGCCCACCCTTCTGGCCGTCTTTTCCTCTTTCCATATCGGCCCTGTCTCTCATTTTCCCCGCGACTGTCCTCCTTGTCCTTCAAATTAATCTTCTTTATTTCTTTCTTTATTTTATTATTATTCTATTATTCTGGGATTTTTTTTTAATTCCCTTTTTGCCCTTTTTAGACTCGTCTCGATCCTCATCTGGTCGTCCTCTCTCCTTCCCTTCTTTTTTATCTCTCTAGTCTTAATTCCCCTCCCTCTCGCTCTCTCTTTCATTTGCGTCTTCAGTCTTTCGGTTTCCTTTATCGAGCGCGTTCTAAACCGACTTCATTCTCTGGTTTGGATCGTATCGATTAGAGGTGCCTGTCCTTCCTTCAATAGACCTGCGATACAAGCATCAGATATAATACCACCACCACCACCACCACCACTACCACGAACTATCGTTCTTCGCATCATTATCACAGCGCTGTCTCATTCACTCACTCCTTCAAGTGCAAGAGACTATCAACATTCTTTCCAACACTGTCGTTCTTGATATAGACGACTTCTCATTGCTTAGTGGTCCCGGCTACAAGACAGAAAGCTTCGCGCAGTCCAACGGTCCGGGTAATACTAACCCATTGATATACTTATCCTAATTACATCTAGCAGAGTAGACCAGACTCTACTCGCTTGTGCAACCACAACACTTCACAATCTGTGAGTCTGATCTTCCAATATATGTCTATTGGGGACCAAGCGCTGACTCGAGGATGGTAACCAGCTACATTCACAATGGACGCAACATACACAATGGCGCCGACATCGGTGCAAGGACAACCGTCTTTTGCATACTACCCAGCTGCCGACTCGCAGCCTAGACAACACTTCACCAGCCACCCTTCAGATATGCAACAGTTCTATGGTCAAATGCAACCGTTCTCCCACGCTCAACAACAACATCAACACTGTGTGCCGGACCAGTCTCTTTATGCCGCTCAGTCTGTCATGAACATGCACCAGATGGCTACGACGAATGCCTTCCGGGGTGCCATGAACATGACACCTATCGCCTCTCCTCAGCCGTCTCACCTCAAGCCCACCATCGTCGTGCAGCAGGGCTCACCAGCTCTGATGCCCCTCGACACAAGGTTCGTGGGCAACGACTACTATGCCTTTCCCTCCACCCCGCCGCTCTCTACAGCCGGTAGCTCTATCAGCAGCCCGCCTTCCAGCATCGGATCCCTCCACACGCCAATCAACGACAGTTTCTTTGCTTTTGAGAAGGTTGAGGGCGTGAAGGAAGGCTGCGAGAGCGACGTTCACGCGGAGATTCTGGCCAATGCCGACTGGACTCGCTCGGAGTCGCCTCCCATGACACCTGGTACGTACTAGTCCTTGATTCTCTTCAAAGAGACCCGTTAGCGGCCTACACCACGTGCTGCAAGAGTGCGAAAAGGCATTCGTGGATGGTCAGTAGTCTAGGGCTATTCGGTGAACTAACTCAACTTGTTCTAGTGTTCATCCACCCCCCTGCATACACCGCCTGCCAGACCTCGGAGCTCCTGTCTGCCACTAGCTCTTGCCCATCCCTGTCTCCATCGCCATCCCCTGTTGCTTCGACCCTGATTGTTCAGCCCCAGTCCGCTCTTCCTCTGGAACAATCCAACTCGGACTTCTGCGACCCTCGTCAACTCACTGTCGAGTCTTCAATCAATGTTGCTGAGTTGCCGCCTTTGCCCACTCTTGCATGTGATGAGGAAGAGTCAAGGGTTGTCTTGGGTGGTGAGGCTGTAACACTTCCTGTTCACGAGAACCTCTCTCCTGTGTTCTCTTGCTCCTCAGAGGATCCCTTGAACAGCCTTCCCACCTTCGATAGCTTTTCGGATCTGGACTCCGAAGACGAATTTGTGAACCGCCTGGTTGACTTCCACCCCAGCGGCAACGCTTTCTACCTGGGCGAGAAGCGGCAGCGTGTTGACTCCTACTCCCTTGATGAGGAAGAGTTCTTCAGTGAGCAAAGCTTCGACGAATCAGACGACCAGGATCTGTCCCAGACCAGCCTTCCATTCCTGGGTGACTCCGATTTCTCCGTTCAAGCTACTGTCAGCGACGCTGCTGAGGAGATGAGAACGAAGAAGCGCAGCAACTCTCGTAAGTCACCCAAGAGAGCTGGCTCCGAGAGCGACGCGGACTCTCTGGCCAAGAAGGCACAGGATTCCGCAAGTGATTCGGACTCCACAGCCGCTCAAGCATCTTGTCAAACCCGCCACAACTCGGATGCTAGCATGTCTAGTTGTTCTGATGCGCCATCTGCCCCGGTCTCTGTGAACCGTCGTGGTCGCAAGCAGTCGTTGACGGATGATCCTTCCAAGACCTTCGTGTGCACTCTTTGCTCTCGCCGCTTCCGTCGCCAGGAGCACTTGAAGCGTCACTACCGCTCTCTGCACACCCAGGACAAGCCTTTTGAGTGCAATGAGTGTGGCAAGAAGTTCTCCCGCAGTGATAACCTGGCTCAGCATGCTCGCACGCATGCTGGCGGATCCGTGGTGATGGGTGTCATCGATACTAGCAGCACATCCTCGCAGTCTCCTTTTGAGGATCACAGTCCCAACACCATGGGTGCGGTTCTCTATGAAGCTGCCAATGCTGCCGCCAACAAGTTGACGACCAGCGACTCGTCCGATGAGAGCATTATCGAGACGCCATCTGCTGATCGTCGAGCCCCCAAGAAGCGCAAGCGTGACGCGGATGCTTAATTAGGTCGTCGACTTGGTGTCGAAGCCATCATGATGATATGTGACCAGGAGCTCCCCTATATCACTTAATCATATATTATAAATGACCAACCATTCCCATGGTTGGTCCAACTGGGTCTCTTACGGATTGGCGTCCGGGTTTGGATTCTGGCGGCGACCAGGAAGGCAAAGGTGCATGGATTATTCTTATTTTTGAAAGGTCCTTGGAGTCAATTTCCCCCGAAAAGCGACTTCGAGGCACCAATTTTGGCGAAGCATTAGACCGGCGGCGAAGGAACTTGGGCGCACATTTGGGAGTCCATGGTTGGACCAAAACTATAGAGCGCGTGCATGATGACTCTACACTGAGGCACTGGTGATTTGGGTTGATTTCCTTTCTCTCTCATTCCCCTCTTATTTCTACTCTCTCTCTGACAAATATCCTCAACTCGATCTGCGAATGGTCGACTAGGACCACCACACTTGGTCCAGTCGCCTGTTTTCGTGTACCCTATTCCCCCCTCCCAAACATTCTCCTTTTTCATCTCTTTTCTTCTACATACTTCTCGTTTATTTACCCCTACCCTTCTGTGTCCACTATTACTACCCACCCTGTTTTGTTCTGCTCCCGTGCAGTACTGTGCTGGCCACATGTATACTTAATATTGTTCCCCAATCGTTGCCTCATACCCCTGTGCGCATACCCCCATTTCTTTCCTTCTCTGTCACTTGTTGCATCTACATTGTGCATAATAACCCCATATCTGCCATTTATGTGTTGAGCGTGCCATTCGTTCTGCAGCATAGCTTGTGATAATTGAGAATTGTGAATCATCAAGGTCCATACAGTAGTTTGATTTTCTTCTGTAGGAAGCCTGAAGTTCGTGGGCATAGTTCGATGGTCTTGGGAAAGCCCGCCTTTAGCTTATCTTAGCAGCGCTCTCCGCCTCGGCAGATCTTAACGTCACGCACTCCACTTAATCCTGCAACAATTCTCTGCTCGAGGAGGAATTGTCGGATCTTTAGTTGCCCTTCTATCTTAGGCTAAGTGAGCATTACTAACCAATAGTCTTTCTCTGATGCTCGACCCGGTCCGACGCTCTGCTGCGTGCCCACCTTCTTCCTAGATTAGCGAATACTGTCTGCGGGGTGCCCGAATCCCACCACGAAGAAAAAAGACCCTCGACCCCTCATGAGCAGCAGCCTCCATCCAACACACTTTTCCCTGTCGAAGACACCTACTACACCCATCCGTCACTATGCCACCTCAGCCGCACCTTCAACCACTCTCACCGCCGGCTCCCGGCGCAGGTCTCAATGTGATCGCCCTCATCTCCGGCGGGAAAGACTCGCTCTACTCGCTCCTCCACTGCATCCGCAACGGCCACAAAGTGGTCGCATTGGCGAACCTCCACCCCGCCGCCAATGCGCAGCCCACAAACACCACCACCACTACTGCCACCAGCACCGACCCATCATCAGTATCATCATCGACCCCGTCCCACCATGTCCCGGAAGAAGAGGAACAAGACCTGGACAGCTTTATGTACCAGACCATCGGCCACAGCATCATCCCCCTCTACGAGACCGCCCTCGGCATCCCGCTGTACCGCCAACCCATCCGCGGCGGCGCGGTCGACACCTCCCGGATCTACCGCCTACAAGCCGAGGACCAAATGGCGGACTCTCCCGGCCGCGACGACAGCAACACCGACTACAATAACACAAACAACCCCGAGGAACGGGAGGAGGCGGAGGCGGCCGACGAAACCGAATCCCTGATCCCGCTGCTGAAACGCATCATACAGGCCCACCCGGAGGCCAACGCCGTCTCTGCCGGCGCCATCCTCTCGACGTATCAGCGCACCCGCATCGAGAACGTCGCCGCCCGCCTGGGGCTGGTGCCCCTGGCCTGGCTGTGGCAGTACCCCGTGCTGCCGGATCGGCGGGCGACGGACGCCGGGCTGCTCGAGGATATGGCGGCAACCGGGTGCGAGGCGCGGATCATCAAGGTTGCGTCCGGTGGGTTGGATGAAGGATTCCTGTGGGGGGATGTGGCGGGTGCGGATGGGCGGGTGCGGGGGCGGATCGTGAAGGGGATGCGGCGGTTTGCGGACGCGGAGGATATTCGGGGCGCTGTGTTGGGGGAGGGCGGCGAGTATGAGAGTCTGGCGCTGGATGGGCCGGCGTGGTTGTGGAGGTATCGGATTGAGGTTGCTGGGTGGGAGGCTTGTGTTGGGGATGGTGGGGTGGGGTTTGTGAGGTTGAAGGGGGCGAGGTGTGTGGGGAAGGATGGGGAGGGTGATCGGGGCAGTCCGGAGAGTGTGAGGCGGCCGGATTTGTTGGATGAAAGGTTCGAGGAGGTTTTGGGGTCTGTCTTGGGGGGTGAAGGTGCGTTGGTTGTTACGGGGGACGACGAAGAAAGGAGCTTGCATGGTGTGGGTTTGGGGGCCGGGAGTGATGGGCTTGATGCGGTTCAGACTACGGAAGGGAGGACGTGGGTCATTGCTAATGTCACAGCGCCTGAGGCTGGCCCTGGTGCTGGTGAACAGATGAGGGCTATTGCGAAGAAGCTTCAGACGATTCTGTGCTCCTCCTCGAGCCGCGAGGTCCCTCGGACGACGGCTGATATTGTCTTCACAACGGTGTTGCTCCGCTCCATGTCAGACTTCCCCCTGATGAACTCCATCTACGTCTCGATGTTCAAGAAGCCAAACCCCCCGGCGAGAGCTACGGTGGCCTGTGGTGCTAGCCTTCCAAAAGGCGTGAATATCATGGTGTCCGCGGTGGTGGACTTGGGTTCGAGGGAGCAGCGGCAAGGCCTTCATGTCCAGTCGCGTTCCTACTGGGCCCCCGCCAATATTGGGCCATACTCGCAGGCCATGTCGGTACCTCTGCAGGGCCCCGAGCATTTGGTGTACATCGCTGGCCAGATCCCTCTCGAGCCGGCCTCGATGGAGATATATGGCCTCGAGAAGACGTGGTTCAAGGGCTTTTCTTCGCGAGCGGTCCTGTCTCTTCAACATCTATGGAGGATTGGTGTGGCTACAAACGTGGACTGGTGGTTGGGAGCTGTCGCTTTCCTGGCGGGAGCCGATCATATCAGAGAGAGAGCCAAGATAGCTTGGAATCTGTGGGAAACGATGCATAGCAATCAACAGGAGGAAGAGGATGCTGAAGACGAGTCGGGTCTGGATGCGTGGGACCTCAAGTATGGTGGGCGCGCCCACGAGCAAATCAAGGGTGTCTCGAAACCCGGACTACCGCGGTTCGACGTGGTCCAGTCGGAGGGATCTATGATCCCTGCTTTCTTCGCCGTGCAGGTAGAAGAACTGCCTCGAGGAAGTGATATTGAGTGGCAGGGTCTTGGTTTCCGATGCGATAAACTCAAAATCACCACCGAAGAACTGCAGTATGGACGCCAAACCGTGGTGACCACTGGCCAGGATATGGGCTACATCGGCATCGAGGTGGATGCGAGATGGTGTGGGCCTGACCTCGAGTCTTGCCTCCGATCGATCCTGCAGAAAGCCACGCAAGGGTCGAAGAGCCCCCATGTAGTCATATACACGACCCAGCCATTGTCCAATGACCCATCCTGGGGTCAGATCGTTCCCTGCAAATCGGCTTGGGGATCGAAGGGTCGGCAGCTGGCCGCGGGGGTTATCGTCCAAAGGCAGAAGCCGTCTGCATAGAGAGCCAAGACTCAGGACGAAAGGATCTGTGTGGCTTCACAGTTGCATGCGCTTAGCAGTATGATACCATTCACGTCGTTCTAGAATAAAGACATTGTACATATAGCATCATAAGTGTTGCTGCCAGAAAGTCCGCTCTCAGGCGAAGATAATTGTGACCTCACCTCACTTCTATCCAAGTCTGATTGACTTCTGCTGTAAGCCGATGGGGCCAGATGAGATCATTCGGAAAAGCCCGATGGGCTGACTGCCGTACCCGATTGAAACTCCATAGCCTTATGACCGGAGTGAGGTGATAGAAGACGAAAGGCCTTGAGAAGAAAGGGGGTCATTCCTTTATTACCGTCTCCTGATGCACGCCTGACGTGCTGAGTCGGCATGTGATAAGCGAAAAAAACCCGCTCCCGCCTGTTGGTTCCTCCGATCTGATCAGCTCTCGATAACAACTTCCACTCAACCTGTCATCCTTCCCTCCTGCGCCCCAACACTTCCCCACTACTACCACCACCACCACACACACTCCATAGATTCAGGGCCAATTCTTTCGGTATGACTACTATCTTTCGAGCGTGCTACCTTACACATGTTACAATGACTAACATCGATGATGCTCTATAGTCCCTCCTTTCTTGAACCCTGACCTATGTTTATCGACATGACGTACGCGCTCTAAGAACAGAACCGGACGGTCTGACCAGCAAACACCTATGACCTCTACACAGAGCCAGGAGGAAGATGGGCTACTTCCAACACCCAACAAAGATCCTGCATCGGACCCTGAATCTCACGATAATCTCCGACAATTCTCCCGATCCCCCCATCCATACACTCGTCCGGGCTCGCACTGTCCCTCGCTACCTGTGGATCCCGGCGACCGAGCGAAGCCCTCCCGCTGGCCCCGGACCTCGAGTGACAGCGGCACCGAAGCCGACGATGAGAGTACTGGTCTTCTAAGAGGCTTGCCGGCCCCTCCGCTACGATTGCGAAAAGGACTGCGTTCGAGTATCCATGGCGCCGGCGAGATCGATCAGTGGCTCCCCATCTTGCGCCCGTGGCCGTCGATAACACGGTCCACCTCGCGGAGTTCGCGGCGGAGTTCTGGCGAGCATGCGGAAGTCGGGGCCGCCGAGCTACGGGAACAGGAATATCGCAGAAAACGGGTGGCCGTTCTACAAAGGCTACTGGAAACCGCACTGCTGCTTTCCGTGGGTGTTGTCGTCCTGGGACAGGAGAGTGTGAGAGCGGCCGCTTGGGCCTGGAAAAAAGGTGCGCGGACATCTCCCCTGTGTGTGACTTGGTTTCATCTCTTGACTAACTCGAGAACAATTTGCAGAGCTTGCCACCTTTTTGGTCATCGTGATCGGTCTCTACACCGCATATCCTCTGCATCGCGATGGCCGCCCGCGACTTTCTCGCCTGTCCACATTTGTCGTCCCTTCTGCCTTCGATCCCGCTCCGTTGCTTTATCCCGTATTGATACCCATCTACGTTTCGCTGTCTCTGGCGCATCACAATCCTTCATTGATACTGCCTAATATTCTTCTCAGTCTTTCATCTCTCCCTGTTCAAGTCGTTCCGCTGCGCGAATGGGTCCACGGTTGCAGTGTTGTCCATTGGCTGGTCACATTGATCCCGATTGTCGTTTCGGAGCATCTGTCGGCGGGTCCTTCATGGCCGAAACCACTAACTCTTCGTGGTCTGGACGCGGAAGTCCTGACTCTTATTTTTCCTTTCCATCAAGCGTTGATACCCACTCTAGATTTCTTATTGACTACCAGCATCCTTCCCGCAGAGCTGCAGCTTTTAACAAGCGCTTTAATCAATCTCTACTTATTTGCAACATCCCCCCAGGCCGAAATCCTCAAGGCGTTGCTATGGCTGGGAGGCATGTGCACCTTCATCGCTTGCCGGGGTGTGCTTCGATGGGAGGTTGCCTTGGCCCGAATCCCGACCTGGAAGTTCCGACGCTCCCCTAGTGCTTCACAGTCGCCTCGCAGCATCTTCAATGTGATCGACCACAAAGTCTGCCAAAAACTCAGCAGAACAGGCTCCTCGGAAGATAATCTTTCTGATAGTGATTCGGCCGATGGGAGCTATGTGCTGGTCTCCCGCAAAACAATGTTCGACTCGCGGGAGAAGACGCTGTCCAACGGGCTAAGTATCACCAAGCACAACAACGCAGGCATGGAAGGCACTCGCCGGCGATCCCGTACCGCGCATCGCCGACGACACACTTTTTCGAGCTTCGACGATGTCAAACGAGCGGAGAAAGTTAGGACGACACCGGGAGGTCGCAAGAAGCGATCAATGGCCCCCGGGCTGGCCTCCTTCCTGTCGCTTACTGTACCTCAAGCACAAGTCCGGAAATGGCTGTATGCCCTGTATGTTTACGTTGCCGTTCTGATCATTGTCATGGTGCCCATTCGGTACTATGTCAGTGATCGAGCATTGCAGAATGGGGAGCCCTTCGGGTGGGCATTGGGGTACCTCTTCGGTAATATATCTGGGTTTAGATTCTGGGTGCTCATGTGGGGTTTGGAGTATTGGATACCTCTTCCAGCTCGTCTGGATAGCGACCCCTCCAATGAATCATGTCCCTTTGGCTGGGTTGAGCATCTGCGGCACGATACGTTCGGGGAAGCTAATTCGCGCCTCCTGATTGCTGCCTATTGCATCCTGGTACTTGTGACCGGCCTGGCTGTTGTGCTACAACTCAGTCCAATCGCAGAGGTCGACACCCGACGCAAGGTTTTTCACGGGATGATGGTCTCGATGTTCCTTCCGACCATTTACATTGACCCCCCGTTCTGTGCTCTCGCGTTGAGCCTCGCCTTGGCTATTTTCTCGCTTCTCGACTTGTTCCGAGCCTCTCAGCTGCCACCGATCTCCCGGCCGCTGACGTATTTCCTGGCGCCCTACGTGGACGGTCGCGATCATCGTGGTCCCGTCATTGTCTCGCATATTTTTCTCCTCATTGGATGCTCTATCCCCTTATGGCTTTCTCTGGCCGATATTCCTCGGACAGGGGAGTATCCATGGGCGGGCTGGGACGTAATGGGTCGCGATGTCAGCATGGTGAGCGGCATTATCTGTGTCGGGATGGGAGACGCGGCGGCCTCCCTCATCGGCCGCCGATTCGGCCGGCGAAAATGGTTCTGGGGCGGGGGGAAATCGTTGGAGGGCAGCGTGGCTTTTGCAGTCGCTGTAACCAGCGGGCTGATTGTTGCACGAACCTGGCTTACCCTGGGCCAATGGTCCACGGACGGAAGTGACGGGACGAATCTCATATACCCCTGGCTGCTTATGGTGTTCAAAGCCATTCTCGCAGCCGGCGGGACCAGCGCAACCGAAGCTATTCTGACCGGGTGCAATGACAATGTCGTTGTACCGATTGTGCTGTGGCTGTTAGTGAGAGGGCTTGGCATCTAATGCGGTTGATTTTCGGATATAGTAACGATTACAGCATGCTTTGGTGGAGCGCTTCTGGTGATGTCTGCTTTGCTATATACCCCATAAGACGAAGAAGCACTGCAAGTTTAGGTGGATTCGTTGTGTTTTGTTTGCACCTGCTTTCGACTTTTCTCTTTTCACTTTTTATTTTCTACGATTACCTTGTGTGCCATCCCTGATTCAATTAATCATCGCGACCAAATGGATAGAATAGCAGCCTGATGGTGAGGACGTGGAAGACTGTCCTCGCTGGTCATGGCGTGCTCCGCTTGTGAATAACATAACCAACCCATCATGCCAACACTATAGAGTGATTGAGTGCCGAAGGCAACCCTCCCCACAATCAGGCAGCACCCCTAGGAATACCCATTTGCTGCATGCATTGGTCTTGAGCGAAACGGTTTTGTTTTTGTACCTCGAATCGTACTTTGTTGTCCGCTTTAATCAGCCTAGCCTAGTCACTCTAGCTTGAGAAGCTAGGAAGACTCGTCCGGCAACTCAGGGACGTGCTGTGCGCCGGGCGGGTTTGAGCTGCGTCGATCGCCACCGACTGAGCGTACCGACTATGACCAGACGGGTTTAGCGGGGGATCAGCCAGCAAGATCAGGCAGCGGGTAACTAGAGTTTTGGGTGGACAAGACTCTGCCCTTTGCCCCATCAATAATAATAGAGTCGCTTATCAACCCGCCTCAGCTACCATTCCGGGTTCTTCGAAGAGAAGGGGGGCTCTCGCGGCAAGACGGTGGCAAGGTCGGATGGGCACTACACTGGGCTCTCTCGGGGTCTTTGTTGGTAAGCAGCCGCGCTCGGAGAGGCGGAGAGGCTGAGGAGGCGGGCAGAGGAGGAGGAGGAGGAGGAGGAGGAGGAGGGGAAGAGAGAGAGGGTTGAGTCATTTGATGCGCCATTCATTCGTTTTATTAAACGAGTCTGGACTAGTTGTTGGGTGATTTGCTTTGATTTTAGGTTGGGGGAAACGTCGGGTGTCACTGATACTGACCCAGAAAGTTATCAGTACGTCGAGTAACAGGTAACAAGTAACTTGATTTTGGGTTAGGAGTCAGAGCGAGAGAGAGAGAGAGATTGAGTCACCAGATGTGAACCGTCAAATTACCAGGTATGGTAAAGATGACTGACTGGGTTTCGCTGATCACTGTGTCTGGGTGCTGATGATGTTGATGGCTGATGATACCGCAAGTGGCTGAGCACATCATAGCTGGATCATGAACTGACGAAAGTGCGCATGTAGAACGATTTACTGGTATGGATGGACATCTGCATCTTGCACATTACGGACAGTATCTACTTCAGTATGAGTATATGGCCGCCCCCGATGGAGAAAAGTGATGATTGCAGGACGGATACTTTCCCCAGGCAATCCACTCGTTATCGCCTGTCCCCGGATTCATCCTGTTCCGGCCGCGTCTTATCTCTCCGTCCGTCTCTCTCTCTCTCTCTCTCTCTCTCTCTGGTGGGAGATAGCAGGAACCTTGAACTGTACTGTAGGGTAGTACTGTACTGTACATCTTCCCCCCTAAGTAGGAGCATGATGCACTCAACTTTGGTGTCTCGATGAGTTCTCGGTCTGTAGCACAGTACGGAGTACAGTACTTAATGATAAATCACTAACTTATCTAGGACGAGTAGGTAAGGGTGATGACGACCGTGGATTGGGAAGTACTGCTCCTAGTCGGTACTGTGGAGATTGACTCGGGGTGGCTATTGGCTGAGACATCTATTTGAGGACATGCCGCCCTGCTGACCGCCTTTGTTCTTCTCTCCCGAAGGTCATTCATGATCTTATCGGCGGTCACGCTCTCAGTCACTGCTCCCTCCCTAAGTCTCTCTTCTCTCTTTTCCTACCTACTCAATAAGTTACCTACAACAATTCTGCTTGCTTGCTTGCATGTCCCACGGGTCCAGCTGCTTGTTCCCGCCTTTCCACCTTCCCCCGTCAATCACATCATTCTCTCTCTCTCTCGCTCTCTACTACTTTCCCCCCCCCTTCTTCCCATTCTTCAGTCGTCGCTCTCCCATCCCTTGTCTTTGTGAGTGACTTTGAAACTTATCTACAAACCGACTCTTTCTTCTTGTTCTTTCTTCTTTTCCCATCCTGCAAGCCACGGTCTTGTTTGCGATCGGTCCTTCGGTTACTTCCACGCCTCGATCTACACAACATACTTCATCTGCCGAAATTAGTATACGTCTATCAGCACTGCATCAACAGCTTAGGCCACACCTCCACCTCCACCCCCCTGTAGCTGTCGCCTCCATCCTATCATACACACCCCCGTCTGTCCGCCTCACCGCTCTCCTGCCTCCTACAACGCCGACGTCTATTCTCGACCTATCTACTACCACTAAGTCGGTCCCCCCTACACCCAGACCCTATCTGAAGGTAGAAAGACGCCTACCTATTCCTTGTCTCGTCGCCTGCGCTCGCCTGCCGCCCTGCCCAGCGCTCCTTCACTACTTTCACCACTGCCTCCGCGGTCCACCTTTCCTTCAGCCATATCTATTGCTCTCCCCGTCCTTTCTCTGTCTACTATTCTCTTATCACCAACATTCCTCAACCGCTTGCCACTCCCCTGATGGGCCCCATCCATCATTCGCCGTCGCTATTCTTCCTGTTGAGGTAGTTGCTGTTGGTTAACAGGGCGCCGCTGGGGTTTTGTACACGCATTGTCTGCGCCCTGTCGCGATCATGGCATCAACAAGTCATTCGAGGAGGACGAGAGATTCCTCACACGCTGAGATGCCCATCGGCCGCTACACGCGGCTGGACGAGATCGGCCGAGGCAGCTTTGCCACTGTCTACCAAGGTGTTCATACGGTATGTTTCCTATGTCGCTACCCGAAACCGCCCTTGGCGAAAGAGACTGCATCGTTCATCGGCGGTCAAGTTGAAGCTTTGAAGGCCTATGCTAATCCAGTGTCTACTTGTAGAAAACCCGCACGTTCGTGGCGATAAAGTCCGTCAACCTTTCCAAGCTGAACAAGAAACTGAGGGAGAACCTGTCGTCGGAGATCCATATTCTCAAGGGATTATACCATCCCCATATCGTGGCCCTAATCGACTGTCATGAGACGACATCTCACATCCACCTGGTGATGGAGTACTGTGCCCTAGGTGATCTATCTTTGTTTATCAAGCGACGAGATACCTTAGGCGATCACCGCTATACGCGAGAAATGATCTCCAAATATCCGAATCCTCGAGGTGGCGCCTTGAACGAGGTCGTCACCCGCCACTTCCTCAAGCAGCTGTCGAGTGCTCTGAAATTCCTCCGAGATCGAAATCTCATCCATCGTGATATAAAACCACAAAACTTGCTCCTTTGTCCATCACCATCATCTTACCGCTCGGGTACCACCCAGGTCGTACCATTCAAGGGCAGCGAAGATTCATTCAACCCTACGACAGGACTCGAATCACTACCCATGCTCAAGATAGCTGATTTTGGTTTCGCGCGGTCCCTTCCAGCCACGTCACTTGCAGAAACCTTGTGCGGCTCGCCTCTCTACATGGCTCCTGAGATTCTTCGATATGAGAAGTATGACGCCAAGGCTGATCTCTGGTCGGTGGGCACGGTATTGTACGAAATGGTTGTTGGGAAAGCACCCTTCCGGGCTTCGAACCATGTCGAGCTGCTTCGGAAGATAGAGAAGGGAGAGGACAGGATTAAGTTCCCCGAGGAGAACCCTGCTTCTGATGAGATCAAGGCATTGATTAGAGCGTTGTTAAAACGCAATCCGGTAGAGAGGCTGAACTTCGCCGACTTCTTCGGGAACGGCATCATCACAGGTCCAATTCCTGGGTTGATAGCCGATGATGCGTCCTCGCCCTATCGACGTTCGACCATGGACACAACGGCTGCCGAACCAGCACTTGTACCAGAATCCCGGCCTGAGCCTGGTCCTGTAACAGCGATGCCCCGTCCGAAAGAGGTGCCGTATCCTGACGATCGTGTGGAACCCTCCACGTATCCGGTCGCCCGACGCTCGATGGCACCGACTTCGCGTCCCGGTACGCCGAGCACACCTATGCGTAGGACTGGCAGCGCCGATAGACCTTTGTCTATCGCCAAGGGTTCTGCGGCAACGACGGGGTCTCCAGTTCCAGTAGTAGATCCTCAGGCTTCTCTCCGCCAGGAGCCGAACGAAGGTGGTGCGGCAACTACGCCCGTTGAGCGTCAGCGGAGCCGCACTGCCCCGTCTGGTGTTCCGCAGGTGGATCGGTCTGCGGAAAAGGCAAAAGAAGAGCGCGAGCGCGAGCGCGCAGCGCAAGAAGTAGCATTTGAGCGAGATTACGTGGTCGTGGAGAAGCGGGCAGTGGAGGTTAATGCTTTTGCCGATGAGATGGCACATAGTCCGCGGATTCAAGGGGGCTTCTCTCGGCCTGGCCAGGGAGGGGTGCTGTCACGACGCCCAGCGACAATGCAGGGCGTGCCGACAGCTGCAAATATGTTACCCAACGCATCTCCCAGCAAAGCCATGCAAATGATCTCCGGGCGCCCTCGTGCTGACTCGGCGCACATTCGCCAGAACTCATATGAGCGCCGATACGGACAGAGCCCGACATCGGCCACGTCGGCGATATCCAAAGCCCTCAATATGGCCAGCGGCCGCCTGTTTGGGATGGGATTTTCACCACCCTTGACAATAACAAAGGGCGGGCGCTCCCCGCCGTTGGCTTACAACCCTTTCCCAGCCTATCCCAACCCCCAAACTAGCTTGATCGTTCTCGGGGACAGTACCAAGACGAACGTGGCGTTGGATGAAGACAGCAAGATTGTTCAAGAGCTCGAGGAATGTGCCACTCGCAGCGATGTTGTCTATGGATTTGCCGAAGTGAAATACAAGCAATTGATCCCCCTGGCTCCTTCTGTTCAGACTGATAATCCTGGAACCACGAATTTGCCTGGCCAGCCAGAGACATCAGATCCCACTGACAGCGGACTAACGGCCGACGCGATCGTGACACTGTCAGAAGAAGCGTTGGTCCTCTACGTCAAAGCGCTCTCCTTGCTGGCAAAATCTATGGATATCGCAAGCGCCTGGTGGAGTCGCAAGACTCGGGCCGAAGCGTTCGGCGAGTCGGCGGGCAGCAAGGGAGATGCCACCGGCGCACTCGTTAGCAACCGGATTAACAACATCGTGCAGTGGGTGCGCAATCGGTTTAACGAGGTGCTAGAGAAAGCCGAATTTGTTCGTCTCAAGTTGATCGAAGGACAGAAGCAATTACCGCTCGACCATCCGAGTCATCCCAGTAACTACTCGGTCGGATCCTCTCTAGGTTCGAATACATCTGGAGATGTTGTTGTCAGCTCGGGAGTGACGGCTGAGAAATTGATGTATGACCGCGCACTCGAAATGAGTCGCGCGGCAGCAATTAATGAACTGACGGGAGAGGACCTCGCCGGGTGTGAGATTGCTTATGTTACGGCAATTCGGATGTTGGAGGCGGTTCTGGACGAGGATGAAGGGTCTCGGGCCGGTCACAGTAGCGGCAGCAAAGCCGAAAGTCGGAGGAACAGCGAACGAATCATGCTAGACGGAGTCCAAGCGGAGGATCGACAAGTCGTTATCAAATGTAGGTTCCCTCGATTCTTCTTCGGTTTCTAGAAGATTTCCAGAATTCCACTAACGTGCCACAGTGGTGTCCAGCATCCGGGGCCGATTGGCATCCCTCCGCAAGAAATTGGCCATGATCTCCAAACGGCACACTATCACTCCTCCGTCGAGTGGCCCGAGCAAGTTGGCTCCCACCGCGTTCCCACCACCTGTTGCACATGCCATTGGAGCCACGCCGCCTAGATAGATTCCCGAACCCCTTGGTCTTTCCCTTCTTCGAGCATGCTGGACCATGCTCTCTTGAATTTCCGCGGGTGTCTTGCGCATGCTCGAGTCGCCACCTTTCCTCCATGGGTAAAGCATTTTCCACCTTGCTTCATCACAGTTCGTGAGTTATGGTCTACATTTCTCAATATTGTTTCCTTGACCGCTTCTTCTTCTGCTTGATCTGCTTCTTCATATCGGGTTGGGTTCTTGATATACGCGTTACTGCGACCATTCGGAGTTCTGCGCTTTTGTTTGCTTTCCCTCGGAGTTTTGCACGGGGTTTTTGTTAGGCGTTCCGACTGGAGAGGTACACACACAAATTGCCACACACACACACACACACACACACACACACACACATGCCGCCACCTCATTTGGATATGATATGACGATATTACTTTGGGATTTCGGAGTCTGGGTGGAATTGGAGGATGGATCTTCTAGAAGCAGATACGGACTGCCAGTCAGACGAAGCTGTACTGTACATACATATAATCAGAGGAACTTTACTTCTATCTCTATTTCCTCTTTTTTTTTTTTTTTTTTTTTTTTTTTTTTTTTTTTTTTTTTTTTTTTCGGGTGATAATTGATACTGATAAAAGGAATAGTGCTTGTCTTGGCTCACGGTGAGCCCCGCCTGGAGCCTGGATTGTCTCAGGATGGTGCAAAACCTTACCTAACTTTAACTCATCATCGCAGGGGGACAATGGCGTGCTCAATTTAGGTGTGTCATAAGATGGGCTCCATGAGGCCTAGAGTAGGCCCAGCGGTGGAGCGTTTTTCACCCACCGCGGGTTCCGCCCGTCAGCAAACTTTTCTTAGCCCTGGCGGCCCTGCCACTTTTGCCTCAGGGCAAGACAAGAAGCCATGATCCATCATGATCCATCCAACTCCTCTTCGTACTGGGCTAAGGCCTGCTGGACGAACGGCGGAGGTCCGCCAACCACATGGCTTCGCCCGCCCTGCATGAAAATTGTTCTTTCCCACTTCTTGACGTCTTTTTCCCTCCTCTCTTCAATCGGCACTCTTCTTCTTGTCGTTGTCACTGCTGTCACTGTTGTCATACCTTTTCGTCTTGTTCGTTGTTGGATCCTTGACTTGTTGTCATCACTCTATAGTTCCGCCTCCCATCCAATTCGTTCGCTGCGACTGGTATACTAGCTTGGTACTGTGTCTGGGCCAAGGATATAGATTCCAGTCGCGCTTGCATCTAACTTTTTCTTCTTTCCATATTGTTGGCCACTGGTGTCTTGTCTCAATTTGCTCAGACAATCCTGTCGACGCCTGACCGTTCGGAGTGCTGCTGGTTTGGTCGCCTTCGATTGCATCAAATTTAGTCGCAGCACACCATCCCATCTTACGGTCTTGTGCCTCCGTCGGTAACCGCCTCCTCTCCGGCTGCTGTCACTTGTCTTCCCACGCTATATAGCCCTGCACCCACTTCGGGGCTTCATCAGTAAGACTATACACTAGTTTTTTTTTCTCGATTCCAGATCACTGTCGCAATGAGTGAAATCGAGCCTGAGTCTGGCTACAAGGTGCCTCTTGCCGGCGGCAAGCCTGTCGAAGATGGTCTTCGCAGAACTGATGGTGTCTCTGGATTATGTATGATCTCCTGCTCAGGCAGTTCTCCCAAAGCATGTGCTGATTCTAACTGATGGCTCACAGACGAGGGAAATGTCTTTGAGGCCACTCCTGATGACCGCCGTCAGATCCGTGTGGTCAGTGCCTCCTTCCTGATTTTCAACCGCGTCATCGGCACTGGTATCTTTGCCACCCCCAGTACCATTCTCTCCCTGGCCGGCAGTGTCGGTCTGTCCCTTATCATGTGGGTTGTCGGCACCTTGATTGCCATGGCCGGTACGGCCGTCTATCTCGAATGGGGTACCGCGATTCCCAAGTGAGTTACTTCCCCCAAAAGCCAGGTTGTCTTGACATGCTGACAGACGAAGGAACGGCGGAGAGAAAAACTATCTTGAATATGTCTTCACCAAGCCGAAGTTTCTGGTTACGGCCATGTACGCGGCTTACGCCGTCCTGTTGGGTTGGGCTGCGAGTAACAGTATCGTCTTCGGCGAGTACATCCTCAATGCTGCCGACGTTGAGGTCGGGCGATGGAATCAGCGTGGTATTGGCTTGGCGTGCATCACGGTCGCCTTCTTGATACACTCCTTTGCAGTCAAATGGGGCCTCATGCTGCAAAACGCGCTGGGTGTCATCAAGCTGGTCATCATCGTCTTTGTTGTTGTTACCGGCTGGGTGGCTCTTGCTGGCCACGTCAAGATCGACAACCCTCCCCACAACTTTACGAACGCTTTCGAGGGTACCACCGACACCGGGTACGGCATCGTCATGGCCTTATACAATGTTATCTGGTCCTTTATCGGTTATTCCAACGCCAACTATGTGAGCTACTAGGATATCTCTCTTTGTGGGCTGGCTGCTAACCTTCCCAGGCCTTGAGCGAGACCAAGAACCCCACCCGGACCCTGAAGATCGCAGCCCCGATTGCTATCTGCTCCGTCGGAATCCTGTACATGCTGTGCAACATCGCATACTTCGCTGCGGTGCCCAAGGAACAGTTCTTGTCCTCTGGTCAGACTGTTGCTGCCGCTTTCTTCGGGAACATGTTCGGTGCACGGGCCGAAAAAGTCATGTCCGTCTTTGTGGCCTTGTCGGCTTTCGGCAATGTCTTGTCGGTGATCTTTTCTCAGGGACGAAGTAAGTCATTTGTTTTCGGAGTAGTGAAGAAACGGTACTAAGACTATTTGCAGTTGTCCAGGCTCTGGGTCGTGAGGGAGTTCTGCCCTTGTCGAAATTCTGGGCCAGCAACCGGCCGTTCAACTCGCCGGCTACTGGTCTCTTCGAGCACTGGGTTGTCTCCATCATCATCATGTTGGCGCCTCCTCCCGGAGACGCTTATAACTTCTTGGTCAAGTGAGTCTCTGCAAAATTGTCCTGGATTTGAGCCTCGATACTAACCTGGCCACTCTTCAGCCTGATCACGTACCCTTTGTCGATTGTCAACGTTTTCGTGTCTGCTGGTCTGATTTACATCTATCTGACCAAGTCGAAGAAGTTCCCTGACTGGGCCCCTGGTATCCGCGCCACCCTGCCGGTCACCGTCTTCTTCTTTCTGTCGAACGTCTACTTGGTGATTGCCCCGTATATTCCTCCCAGCGCGGGACAGAGTGTGTACAAGAGCCTGCCGTACTACCTGCACTGCGTGGTGGCGTTGGGTATCTTCTCGCTCGGTGCCATTTACTACGTGGTGTGGGCGGTCTTGATGCCCCGCTTTGGAGGGTATATCCTGATCAAGGAGTCTGTGATTGACGCCGATGGCTGGTCCAGAAGCGTGTTCACCAAGATGCCCATCAACCAGGCTGCACAGCCGTCCGAGCAGCGGCAATAGACGCGCGCGTGTCTGCCTGGATCCGAAAGTTTGGTTCTGAACGGCAACCGGACTCCGACTGTCGGGACACTCTTCCTTTGTTGCCTAATGCTTTTATGAGGAACGATTCAACATCATAGCCGCTTGTGGCATAATCATAATATTTACATTACCATCGCATACATGCGGAGTTTAATTTTCAACGAACGGAATTTCTTTTTTTTTTTCTAATCTTTATTCATGGGATGGATGCTGCGAACATGGTTCGGGCACTTTTGGGGGTTCATTCAACATTCAGTTCTTGTATTATTAGATCCATTTGAGAGATATCATTGCTATGGTGGCGTTGCGCTACCCTAATCCAAGTGAGACAAAAAGCTTTTATTTCTGATATGTGTTCAGATTGTGATTCGAGGACTGAAGGCTTAGAATTTGATGACATGAAAGAAATGGCTAAGCTAAAGTGATTAATGTCCCAGACCTCTATGGAAGCCCATTCACGGGAAGGGCACGACTAAACGCGTGACCCAAATCATGAACCCCTCAAACTGGCTGGAGCACCGTCTAGCAAGCACCGCTGGCCCCGAAGGGACGGCGGACCGCCATATACCATACGAAAATTTGAGGCATATGGCGGTAGTTGGCTTGCGTAAAATGAATGAGGAGAGAGAAAGAGGCGCAAGGAAGAGGTGGTGGGGAATAAATAGGAGAATTGAGCGGCCTCATGTGATGCGGAGAAGCCCTGACAAGCTCGAGCCCTGAAGACTGACCGAGTGAGGACTAGTCATCCCGTGACCCGTGACGGAGCAGTAATATGACGGTAATAATACCAGAGCTCATACGCGGACTCACCGCCTGCTTATCTGGACGAGAAATTCTTCCCTTCGCCTTCGCCTTCAAGTGCCTTGACGGTTGAAAGAGATTCGAAGGGATTGTCCTCCATGAGCCAGGTCAATGACAATTGCGCTTGTTTGAGTTCGTTCCATTCAGCTGTCACTTGCCTCATTCGCTCCTTGCCTGGCTCTGCCTCGGTTGAGCTTCTCCAATCCCAATTCTAGCTATCTTATCACTACCTCCCATTCGCATTTGCAATCATAATAATTCCACTACCACAGGAAAGATGCGTCGCTTTACCTCAGCCCGACGGTTACCGCTCCTTCGCCGGAGCTCCGCCAGCATCAGACCTTCCTCTGCGCTCTGCCCCTCCCCCACCTCCTCCCCTCTCTCCACTCATTCACACTCTATATCTTCTCTCCCATCCCTCTCTTCTGCTTCTGCTTCTGCTTCTGCTTCTGCTTCTTTCTCATCATCTTCATCTTCTCTCCCCTCCCTCTCTGCCTCCACTTCTTCCCCTCCCGTCCTTCGTCGTACCCCTCTTCGCTCCACTACTCTTCCCAAGCTCCAAAAGCGTTATTGCTCGTGTCGCAGGATGTGCGGTACACGTCGTGGAGAAGTGTCGGGCTCGACCAACATCACCCACGGTCGTGAGGTCCTGCCCACCAACGTCAAGCCTCTTCACTATGACTTGACTCTCGAGCCCAACTTTGAGGCTTTTACTTATGACGGAACCGTCGTTATTGAGTATGCGCTCCTTCGCCATCCTGACTGCTCCTGTGAGCTAGCTGAAGATTCAACTAACACTATCTCGTAGCCTCGAGGTCACCGAAGATACCAATTCCATCTCCCTCAACTCCAACGAGATTAAGATCCACAATGCCGTTGTTTCTGCTCAGGGCTCTGTCGTGGCCTCCCAGCCCGAGGTTTCCATCAACCAAGACACCCAGGTGGCCACCGTCAAGTTCTCCGAGACGATCCCTGCTGGCTCCTCGGCGCAGCTGAAGCTGACCTTCACCGGCGAGCTCAACGATAACATGGCCGGTTTCTACCGCTCCTCATACAAGACCTCCGAGGGTGAAACCAAGTACATTGCTACAACTCAGATGGAACCTACCGATGCTCGTCGGGCCTTCCCCTGCTTTGACGAGCCCGCTCTCAAGGCCAAGTTCACCATCACTCTGGTTGCTGACAAGAGCATGGCCTGCTTGAGCAACATGGACGTTGCTTCCGAGACCGAGGTTGACGGCGGTAAGAAGGCGGTCAAGTTCAACACCTCTCCCCTCATGTCCACATACCTCGTGGCTTTCATTGTCGGCCACCTGAACTACA